TGGATCTCCACGAGTTCAAGGCCAACCTGGTCTGCAAGAGCTAGTTCCAGGACAGCTAGGACTGTTACACAGAGAAACCCTGCCTCCAAAAACACAAAAACAAGAAAGCAGGCTGAACAAGCCAGTAAATGCTTGCAGCATTTCATCACAGCAACAGTCTCCCTAAAACATTAATATTGGTTGTTTCATTACTTAGAGTTCTCACAGCCCCAAGCACTAACATGGTCTCAACATGCAAGCAGTACCAAAGCACAGGTTAAACATAAGTGTGTCTGACAGTGCTAACTCGTTCCCCATGAGTGCTGGGAATTTAAAATGTGAAACCAATGCTGAAAGATCACGGACCTAAGGGTGCCAATCTTCACCTGGCTGATGCCCAGCCCTGCCACTTCTACAACCAGCCTGGTCTTAGGATGTCTTCCTACAAGCCTCCTCACAGAAAAAAAGCTACTGTGGTTTGATCTTAACCAGCAGCATGAGTGTGTGTACGCACGCGTGCTCACGTGCGCGTGCATGCACAAATGTGTGGGTGCATGCACGCTCGCTACGGCAGATTATCCCAAACGTACTGGTTTAAAGCAATGTAAGCGGATCTTCTCCAGTGCTATGGGCTCTCAGTCAAATGAGTTCTGGAGCAGGAAGACCAGGGGATCCGCAGGGTTGCACAGCTTCTCCAGGCTCTGGGGAGTTACTCCCTCACTTTCCAGGTTCACAGGCTTGGTGTGTAGTTGGGGCCACTTCCCACACCGGTGTCACTCAGCCCAGGCCTCCTTCCTACCTCCCCTGTCTGGGGTTCCCTATTCCATCTTAGATGCCATCTGCATATTTAGCATTGTCTCGCCCCTTCAAGAGCATTATAAAGGAGCCGCATCTGCTCAGTCTACTTGGTTGTCTGGTTCCAGGGGTTGTTTGTGATGTGAGTTTCATTTTTGTTTTTGAAAGGTTGGGTATATAACCCCAGGGCCTTGTGCATGCTAAGCCAGTACTCCACCACGAGACACAGCCTCAGACTCCAACTCACAGATTTCACCTTCCTTAACAGCCTCTTGTTCATTGTCAGGGACAGGACCCAAGGCCTTGCACATGCTCACAACTGCTCAACTACTGAGTTCCTGGTCAGATTAGGTCCCCTTTGAGCTTGTTATCTAACCTATTACAGGGACACAGACTTGACTGTTCAGGGAGCACATATCAGGGAGCACTGAGCTGGCTACTCAGCCAGGCCTTTCTAGTTTTCCACTTCGACTCAATTGTGGGTCCTAAACTCATTGCCCGTCTGTCTCCATACAATAACCCCACGCATTTGACTCCACCCAACCATCTCTATGCTCGGGCTGGGGGGGGGGGCCTCCTCAGGGTTTGCTGAGTGAGTAGCTGGGTAAGCAAGCCCCTTCCCCTGTCCCACCCCTGTGTGGAAGATGCTAAATCTAAAAAGGTCCTGATTCCAGACTTAGGGCCCCTCCTTCCTCAGTGCATGCTGATCCTTCTAAAGCCTCCAGGCCTGGAAAAGGAGCTCCTCCCCCAGGGATGAGGACATCCTCCTACAGAGGTGCTGAAAACACAAGGGATCTGGGCACCACCCCAGAGCACTGAATACTTGGCTAACTCCTCCCAGAACCATTGCCATTGAACCCAGGGACCAATAACCTCACAGTTACCTCAGTGACTTCCTTAGTCCCAGTTCTTGGAACCCCCTTCCTGGAGTACAATAGAGCCCTGCACCCCAATCTATCCTCCATTTCCTGCCTCAGGGCCTTCTAAGCAGCATCTCTGCCCCCTGGCCACTGTCACCCACCCACAGCCAGGCCCGTGGCATCCACACATTGCAAAGTCAGTTACTGTTCAATGGCTCTAGTCCTAGCCCAGACAGAAGTTACTGCAAGTCACATCACATTGGGACTGGAGCCACCACCTGAGGACAGTGCCCGGACTGACACTTGGAGATGGATGTGACAGGGACCTGAGGCTTGGAGGCTCAAGATTAGATCAACAAGGCTGGGGCTGGCTGGTTCCAGGAAAAAGGTCATGTGGACACGGTTTGACAGACAGCTCAAGCAAAGCCAAGGTTTCAGGCTGGCCTTCCCCGAACAGAGGAGGCACTGGGGCTGACGGCCCAGTCTAGAGATGAAAAGCCTGAAGTCCTTGGTCTCTCTTGGGCACTGGCATTTTCCCAGGAGCTCCCAGAGGCCAGTGTCATTGTATACAAGAACTAAACAACCACAGCTCCCGTGGGTCTTCCAGGACATGCCCAGCTCAGATGTCCTTTAAGCAGGCATTCAAGGTTTCTCTCTCTCCTGCTCACCTAGGCCCAATGATCAGCCACCTGTAGCTGAACTGGGGTACCCAAATCAGGACCAGATGGTCTTGGGGCACACGGTCTCCTGCTGATCCGGTTCGGTCCGGCAGGTGAAGAACAGAGATCTGCCTCCTTAAGGAGTCCCCTTACAACTCTTGTCTTGGGAAGAAGCCACCTCTGGGGTACGGAGGAATAAGGGGGGAGAAGTGGGCACCTGGAAATTTCTGGTCGGGGGAGCTGGGACTGACCCTAAAACACTGGATGCTCTCAGTGAGTTCAGGGGAATGGCAGGCAGGCTCCCTCCACACACATGGACCAGTGCACCCCCAGTGTACACTGACTTGGGAGACTGGAGGCCCCTTTGCTCGCTACAATCCACAGCTCAGAGCTATCGTGAGTGTGGAGCCTGAGCTGCCCACCGCCCACGCAGTGATCTCTACCTTCCGCATCCCTGGTTGCACCTCGCTTGCAGCAGCTGCTAGCTAAGTGTCCTTGAATGATCTGCCTCCCAGCCCCCACATACTGTAGCCTCCTCGGGGACCCCTACATGGCAAATGGTCGCAGCTCCAGACTGGGGAGGGGGAAGCGGAATGTGGGAAGATGAGTCGTCACCATGGGAGCCGACGACTGAGTTCCACACTCACACACTTGCAGAGCTGGAGGCACCAAGGCATGCCCACACTCACATTCCCAAACTCGCAGGGAAATAGGCTGAGAGGTCAGAGGAGATGCACACTGAGACCCACAGAGACAGACAAACTGCCCCTTCCATACATACACAGTCCTTAGACACAGACACCAAAACACAGGGGCAAATCAGGACCTATGTAGACATATCTTAGCCAGGGTGAACCCCAATCATCACCCAGTGCCTACTTTCATGTACAGACAGACACAAATACACATGACAACAGACTGAATTCCCAAGACACATCCTAATAACCCTTCTGTGAATACATAAGCTCTCTGTCTCTCTCTGTCTCTGTCTCTGTCTCTGTCTCTGTCTCTCTCTCTCTCTCTCACACACACACACACACACACACACACACACACACACACATACCATCTCTCTTCTTGGGAGTCCTTCATCCATCTATCCCTCTCCTGTCTCAAGCAGCAGACAGGACACTTAGAATCTAGAGATCACAGGGCAGTGGTGACACACGCCTTTAATCCCAGAACTCAGAAAGCAGAGGCAGGCGTATTTCTGTGAGTTCAAGACTAGCCTAGTCTACAGAGTGAGTTCCAGGACAGCCAGGACTATGCAGAAACCCTGTCTTGAAAAAACCAAAAGAAACAAACAAAAATCTTGAAGATCTATGATCCACCATCTTGCATACAAACGCCACAGCTACCCAAGGACAACGTTCTTTCTCAGGTCCAGGCACTTTCATTCTTTGGGAGTGGAGGTCACTACATCCATAAGGATGCTGCCCCAGCCCTCTGCTTAGCAGCTGGGAAGAGGGTTCTGACTGCAAAGGGAAGATGTGGTTACACTCCCGGGAGGGGAGGGATGTGAGAGAAAGGAGACTTCCTGGCTTGGAAGGTCCTACCCTGAGGCAGGAGGTGGACAAGATGACTAAGCCCGGAAGGTCCCCCTCCACCTGCCTAGGAATCCCAGGAGATCCAGCCTGCAATCATTTGTACCTGGTGCTGTCTACCTTAAAGACCCCTCCTCCCTACTCTACCTTAGCTTCTAGGCCTTTTGTTATTCTTCAAGTTTCAGAGCAGGTATTGCTGCTCTTGGAAGCCTGGGTGAAATCTTCGGCCCTGTTGTGACCTCAGTCCCCCTAGGACCTCTCCCAGCACCATAGGGAAATGCCTTAATCCCCAGGCGAGACCCTCTGCATGGCTGGGAGCCTTTGGGGTGCCAACAGATCTGAGTGGAACACAGATTGGAACCCCCAGCGCTGCTTCTGACCTTGGGCAAAGCCCTGAACTGTGTGTGTCCAAGGTCTTATCTGTAAAAAGGGGACAGTGACAACATATCACCGGGCTGACGTGGGGATTAAATGAGATCGTACATCGTTTAGCCTGTGGAAATGGTGGCCGTACTATAGGTTCTTTGCTTGCCACAGAACTTGGTAAATATTTATTGAATTAATGAACGCCTCCAGTTCCCCCTTTTTTGCCTCCACCTTACGTCCTTGCTTTAGGAGGGGGAAGTAGGAGCGAACAAAGATTTGGGGCAAAATTTGGGAGAGATGGGGCTTTCTGACGTCTCTGGACACTAGCTGCTCCAGCAGGTCCTCAGCTTGCCTGGAGGAGGCACCGGCTTCCTTTCACCTCGGTAACAACCACTTGGGCTATCATTTTCACTGGTCAGGTGAGGCAGCGAGTAGAAGTGGGGTCCACCCCTGCACTGTGTCCCCCGACGCCGCCCCACCACACACACACACACACACACACACACACACACACACACACCCTAGGTGCGCACTGAATGCAGGGTGGCGGGAGCGTAAGTGTCGGAAGGATGCGCACGGTATGAATGAGCCAGTGGATGCATGAATGGAGGTGGATGAAAGCTTAAAGTACAAGGCAGGGTTTGAGCTGGGCGACCTCGGGCGCAGAAGGGGCCGGGGCTCCCTCCCCTCCCTGCCCAGCCTTCCGCCCCGCTCCCTTCCCTTCCCCTCCCCACGGCACGCAGTCCATCCGAGCCCTCCCAAGCTACCACGGGTGCGGAGCTGGGGCCGCGCAGCCACCGAGGGGATAGCTCGGCCTCGGGAGGGGGCTGCCCCGCCGCGTCCCCTGCCCCTGCCTTCCCCTGCACCAAGGCAAAGTCCCGTCTGCAAGGTCCAGGTACCAGCAACCGATGCTGCTCGGGGCCGGGAGCCAACAGGTGCGGGGTATGGGGGGGGGGGGGGGGGGGCTCAGGACTGGCATGGGAGTTCCAGAGGAGCAGTGGCAGGTGAAGGTGGCGGGGAAGCCTGGAATTTCTGGGGGTGACCTGGATGCTGGGAGGCTGCGCCACCACCCACTCCGCTCACCTCCAGGCGGCTCTTGCTGACCCTTCTGGGAATCCTCCCAGACCCCCTAAGGAGCAGGGAGGTCCATCTGGGAAATCGGTAGGCCAGCATCTCTGCCCCTTCCCTTAGGGCTCTCCGGGGACTATCCACTCTCCTACACTAGTCTAGGGTCGTCCCTACCCAGCTAGGGGAAGGAGGGGTCTGAGGGAGAGAGGAGGGAGCGGCCTGAGTGGGGCTGGATTTATGAATGGAAAGCGACCTGCGCGCCGGCTCAGCGACCCCTGGCGGCCGTCGAGGGGCATCCCGACCCCGGGGACTCGAGGAGACCTAGGAAGGGGGTCCTGAGAATTTCGTTTCTGGGGAGAGGACTATTTCATTCATTTCATTTCTCTCAGGGAGGTGGTCAGTCCCTTCCCATACTCTTCTTTCCTCTCTCCCTCTCCCTCCCTCTCTCTCTCTCTCTCTCTCTCTCTCTCTCTCTGTCTCTCTCTCTCTCTCTCCCCCTCCCCCCGCCCCCGTGAGTGTATGGGGTGTGTGTGTGTGTGTGTGTATCTCAGGTCTAGTGGGCGGAACCTAGATCTTCAGTATCTCCCTGAATCCTTTCCCCAACCCCTAACCAAGGCTTGAGAGAATATTTGCTATTGGGAATGGCTGCCTTTCCTAACCCTGTGCTAGCTGGAGGATGCAGGTGACCTTGAGCAAGGGGCTCAACCTCTCAGCTTCCCATCTCCTCATCCACACACAGGGCTCACTAATAATGATCCCGGACACTGACTGGAAGGCCGGCTTCTGGGTGAAGTAGTTCCTCGTCGTGGCCTGGCAGGTAGGTATCTTTATTACTCCGTTGGATGGGGAAACTGAGGCTGAATGAGGGAGGTAAGATGATTTTCTCCACCATTCCCAACCCACGACTAAGATTAGAGAGGGAAGGTAAGCAAAGTCCCTAATGTCCCCTCCTTCCTTCCCCACTCCCTTCTTTTTTTCTGTTTTCCCTTTTTCGTTCTCCCCTAGCCTTCTCTCTTTCATGATGTTTGGGCTGGAACCCCAAAGACTTGGGTACATAATCAGGGCCCCTGAAGGGAGTGGGCTGAGGGCTTGTGGGAGTTCCTCTTCTTCCACAGAGCCCAGCACCTTTCTCAGCTGAAGTGGCTCCAGAGCTCATGGAACCTTCCGCCACTCCCGGGGTCCAGCCAGGAGTCCCCACTGGCAGCAGGGAACCCTTCCACCTCCCTCCAGACTACGAGGATGAGTTCCTCCGCTACCTGTGGCGCGATTATCTCTACCCGAAGCAGTATGAGTGGGTTCTCATTGCGGCCTACGTGGCTGTTTTCCTCATAGCCTTGGTGGGCAACACACTGGGTAGGTGTCTTTCTTCTGAGGCCTAGAGGGAGTCTTGCCCGTCCTTGCCTTCATACCCCTTCCTGCTGGTGACGGGGGGGCATGGGGGCTTAGTGTCCCAGCAGAGCCTGGATCGTCATGGCTGATTTAACTCACTCCATGCTCTCTGCAGTCTGCCTGGCTGTATGGCGGAACCACCACATGAGGACAGTCACCAACTACTTCATTGTCAACCTGTCGCTGGCAGATGTGCTGGTGACTGCCATCTGCCTGCCTGCCAGTCTGTTAGTGGACATCACTGAGTCGTGGCTCTTCGGCCATGCCTTGTGCAAGGTCATTCCCTACCTACAGGTTAGTTCGCCCACACTCCTCAGTAGCCTCTATCACGCCTGCCTAACACCCAGTGACCCTAAAGTTCACCTTTCAGGCGAGTTACAGTGGCTCAGGACTTTTGCAGGGTCACCCAGACCACCAGGCTGGACACTCAGGAACACAGACACAGCCTCACAGACTCACACAAACATCCCCTCCTGGTGACAACTACAAACTTGGCCATGTGTGCACACACAGTTACCTCCAGGTACACAGGCACATATCGAGAGGAGACAGGAACCCACAGTGACAGTCCCAAATGCTCACTGGGTCTGCTCCCTGACCCCAGCGGAGACCAACTGAGAGAGAGTCAGACAGAATTGTCTCTTCTCTCCTTTCTAGCCTGCTTCCCCAATCCTTGACACCAGGATGTCAGAGGGTGATCAGTAGCCAGAAGGAGGGCTGGCCTGAGGCCACCCATGGCCTCTCAGTAGCCGTCAGACTTCTTCCTGCACCCTGGGAAACTGGGACACTCTGGACGCAATGCCTGCCTATGCTACTTGCATGGCAGACTCATCTTTGCCTCTCCCAGCAACAGAGGGAAGGGATGACATCTCCAGGGTGACAGAAATGTTGCCTGGACTTCTCACTGATTTGAGGCTTTCTGCTCAACTGACACAGTCTGTTGGCTTACGTGTGAGGGACTCGCGTATCTCATTTCCTCATCTGTAACATGCACCTACCTCACTGTAAGGCAGGGAGAAGAGTGTCCACCACACAGAGTGACATGGTTCACAGTAGAACAGTGCCTAGTGCCTGTCAGGTCTCCAACTGGACATTCTCCATACATGATTTCATTTATTTGTACCAGAATCCTGCCAGATAGATGCTATCTTCCCATTCTACAGCTAAGTCTCAGAGAGGGCGAGTGACAGTCCCGAAAGCAGCAGAGTCAGAATTTGCTGCCCTAGTAGCTCTGGGCTGCGGAACTGCTCCCCGCCACACCTCTGATGTTGTGTCCCCATGGGGCAGGCCGTGTCCGTGTCGGTGGCAGTGCTGACGCTCAGCTTCATCGCCCTGGACCGCTGGTATGCCATCTGCCATCCGTTGATGTTCAAGAGTACAGCTCGCCGGGCCCGTGGCTCCATTCTGGGCATCTGGGCTGTGTCGCTGGCTGTCATGGTGCCCCAGGCTGCTGTCATGGAGTGCAGCAGTGTACTGCCCGAGCTAGCCAACCGCACCCGGCTCTTCTCTGTCTGTGATGAACACTGGGCAGGTAATGGTGGGCACCTCTGGGGTGAGTACCCCTAGGACAGGGGACTTTCCGGGTGAGTATCCCCGGGGTGGGTATCACCTCTAGTGTGGGCATCTGCTAGGGATCCCTCCACGATGATACCACTAGACTGGGCAATTCCCTGCCATGTGCCTATGCAAAATTCAGTTGTCCCCGGGTCCTTGCTTGTTGGGAAGGTGGCATTGCTGAGGCAGACTGGGACTCCCAGGACAGACCTGACCCTTGCATCTCATGACCCCTACAGATGAACTTTACCCCAAGATCTACCACAGCTGCTTCTTCATTGTCACCTACCTGGCCCCACTGGGCCTCATGGCCATGGCCTACTTCCAGATCTTCCGCAAGCTCTGGGGCCGCCAGGTAAGGCATCACTGTGTGGGCTGCAAAGGATGCAGCTGTTACTCTAAGAGGGTAGATGGTCCCTGACATCAGAATATGCCATCCATGCTGTGACTACAGAAAGGCCAGACCCAGGGACATGGGGAGACGAAAGCCCCAAAGTGACTTGCAGCATCTTTTAATTAATTAATTAATTTTGGGGCTGGAGATCTGGAACCTTGCATATGTTAGACAAGTGTTCTACCACTGAAGACTATCCCCAGATTTTTTTTCTTCCTGACCCCTGTACTCTCCTTCCATTTTTAAATGTTGAGGCAGGGTCTTGCTAAGTTGACCTGACTAGCCTGAACTTGGAATTCTTCTGCCTCAGCCTCCTGAGTAGCTAGGATAATAGTCAGCTTTAACTACCATATCATATTCCCCCTGTCCCAAACATGTGAGAAAACACCCAGAGAAGCAACACAATGTCCCCCAAAGCATTCAGCTGGTGAGTGGAAAGGCAGGAGTTGGAACCCGAATCTGAGGCTCTGATGCTCAGCTTCATCGCAGGAGGTTAACCATTGCAGCTCCAAATGTTTACCTAGCTGAGCTTCAGGTTAAGTGTCTTCCAGCTAGCTAAGGAAGAGGCACCAGTGCCCACTTCAGAGTGTGGGCAACTGACTGCCAAGGCCAGCGAGGCCAACTGGTTCCAGCCATGACTTTGGACCCACAGCAGGTTTCCTGGGGCGGTGTTCATGGGAAGAGGGGTGCTAAGAGCCATTTGCACAGATGGCAGTAAGTCCTGGGTCAGTATCTAGGCAGTGAGAGGACATGGGTCACAAGGCTGACTGGTCCCAGTGACACCAACATTCTGGGATGTCACATACATTCTACACAGTGCTAACCCACTCCTAGCCCATGCAGGGCAATGGGTTGGGTGAAACCCAGATCTGCCTTGCAGGAATGCCCAGTTAAAGCCTTTCCTGGTTGGTCTACATTAAGGAAACAAGGGTTTAGCGAAGTCACACAGCTCATGCATGTGTGAGCAGTCTCTAAACTCTATGTTCTTGTGTCCTGGCTCCATGTCTCTTGGTTGTGGGGCAATTGTGATGTCCAGTGGTGGGAAGAGCTTCCAGCATCCAGAGCTACTCAGGCTTCTGAGCTTCCACCTAGGGGGAGAGCTCTGCCCTGACTCAGTCCAGGCCATCCCTGAGGCCCTCCTGACTCCCAGGCCTCCGCCACAGTGTGACATGGACAACTCTTCATGACTATCTAAAGAAGATGGGAGAGCAGTTAGGAAGGGGTTCACACCCCACAGTGTGGCAATTTCTTTGCACCTTGCCCACCAGGCCCAGATTGTCCCCAGACAAAGGGAATGACTGTGTCTGAAGGAGTAACATCCACTGCTGTCGTGTGTGTGTGTGTGTGTGTGTGTGTGTGTGTGTGTGTGTGTAGATCCCTGGAACCACATCAGCCTTGGTGCGGAACTGGAAGCGGCCCTCAGAGCAACTGGAAGCTCAGCACCAGGGACTGTGCACAGAGCCCCAACCCCGGGCCAGAGCCTTCCTGGCTGAGGTGAAGCAGATGCGAGCTCGGAGGAAGACGGCTAAGATGCTAATGGTGGTTCTGCTGGTCTTTGCACTCTGCTATCTGCCCATCAGTGTCCTCAATGTCCTGAAGAGGTGAGGACATGGGGCAGCCATGTGGGGAGGGGAGGGACTTCGGGGTCTGAAGAAGACTCCCGTTCACTCCACTCCTCTCCACCCCGGGCCATATTCATCTCCTCTAGGGTCACATGGGGATGTCAGGCCTCCCTCCAAAGGCAATTGGGAAGGCCCCTTCTCCACGCCCTTGGGTCCCAAGTTCTAGGGTGACTGACTACAAATGACAGACGAAAATCTCTGTCTTCATAGAGGCTGCACTCCAGTGAGAGAGAAGGAAAAATCAGTGTGTATGAGGCAGTGAGGACTATGAAGGAAAATGAAATGCCGGAAGAGGGCAGAGTGTGATGGGGGGAGGGGTTGTCTCAGATACATTGTTGTTGCTATTTAAGGCTTCTCTGAGAAGCTGGGAGGTGAGTGTCTATGCTCTCAGCACTCAACAGGCCAACGTAAGAGGATCATGAGTTCAAAACCAGCCTAGGTTAGGGCCCCGAGAAGAGACTTGGCAGACACGAAGAAGCAAGCAGCAAGCATCATGGGATGGGAGAATACCAGTTAGGCAGAGGGATACAAGGACACAGACGAAAAGGGGTCAGGAGTCATCAGTGGAAGGTCATGGAGCAGTGGACAGCAACCACCCTGGTTTCGGCCATATCCGCACTTGTGGGATCCGGGGCATGTACTTCTCTGTTTATTACCTGGAAACAATGGGTGCTGTCCATGATGTCTTATTTCTGTTGGGATGGATGAGAAGGTAAATGGGATGGCTCCAAGTGATCAGAAAGGTGGAGATTGAGAAAATCATATTCATCGCTGTCCCATTCTGGCCAAAATCCATGCTTGGATACCCAAAGTTGGTACCCAAATTTATGGTCAAGATCTCAAACCAAGTGCCGCAAATGGGTGGTAGTGATCACTGGGGACCCTTATACTTTCTAGCTAGAGTTCTGTGGGCACTCTCACCCTGCCCACCTGCCGTACTTCTCTCCATCTTTCCCACTGGCATTAGAGTGTTCGGGATGTTCCGCCAAGCCAGCGACCGGGAAGCTGTCTATGCCTGCTTTACCTTCTCCCACTGGCTGGTGTATGCCAACAGTGCCGCCAACCCCATCATCTATAACTTCCTCAGTGGTAAGTGGACCATGCATGCAGTGGCTCAGGGTGGCCATGGTCCCTTGGTCCATCTCAGGCTGGTAAGAGAGGATGTACCTGCTCGCTTGCTCTCTCTCTCTGGGTATCCTCCACTCAGGGGAAACTCGAGTACACTGCCCTGGCGAGGGGCCCTAATCTAGGGCCCCAACCTAATAGCACCCAGAAGGCAGTCTGACCAACCTGCAGACCTAAGAGGAAGGGCAGGACCTGGGCCTCCATCCCCCATCCAGGCAGCATGTGCAGTAAGACTTCCTATTAGTCCCTTTCGGGCTGGTACAGACAGAGCAATCTCTGTTTCTAGAGGGAGCCAGGCCCGAGAAGAGGACCCTGGAGGCTCTGACTGAGGGCGATTGTATAATCTAGCTGAGGGATGAGGGACAGTCAGCCGTAGAGACACAGGGTAGGGTAGCCATCTTGGCTACCCCTGGAGTCATGAGCCTCAAGGCAAATATCTCTCCTGGGAGTCTGGGCCCCCTGGCCCGTCCCCACCACATTGTTCTATACTCCCGCTCACGTCCTCTGCCTCCCAGGCTCTTTCAAAAACAATTAAGACGTTTGAGAAGGGGCAGAGGTCCCTAGTGTTACTCAACCAAGGCTTCCTAGCTGTTTCCCAGCCCAGAGGACAGGAGAGAAGAGTGGAACCCTACAGAGGAAGAACCAGGCAGCCATCCAGGTGCACACGGCGTGCCTGGCCTGTGTTTGCTGAGTATCTGCTGTGTGCTCGGCCCTGAGCTGGATACTAAAGAATGGCAGACTGGGGACATGATTGGGGAGGGTTCAGTTTCTGCCCCCCAACACATAAACATACACACACGAGCTGAATGCAGTGCCGTGCAGCCCCTCTTCTCCCACTCTGCCTTCCCCTTTAAGAGATGGTTTGGGGTTAGATCCCAATGTCCAATTTCCAGCTGAGTGGACTTGGGCAAACCATATCCTTCTGCACATCTGTGATGTGAGATACAGCCTTGGGGGCGTGGGGGATGTTTTGGGGGATGAGGTCTGAGGTACTGGCCTAGCCCCTGGTGCAGTGTGACTGCCACCAGCAAGGGCTGCATTACACACACACACACACACACACACACACACACACACACACACGGCATGGAGGGCAGAGGTGACCTGAGGCCCCTGAGCCAGACACCACGTCTTGAGTCAGGCTCCCGGCCAGAATGCAGTCAAGGAATCAAGACAATTGCATTTTGCTCCAGGAACCCACTGGGGCCTCTCATCCTCTCTGGCTGGCAGGGCTGAGGTGGCCTTGGGCTCTCCCTCCCAGATGCCCCTCCCTCTCTGCCCCACAGCTTTGACCAAGCTCAGAACCCCTTCCTGCTGCATTTGCCCCCTTATGGCTGTGTCTTTTGTCTCCCAACCAAGGCAAATTTCGGGAGCAGTTTAAGGCCGCCTTCTCCTGCTGCCTGCCTGGGCTGGGTCCCCGCTCCTCTGCCAGACACAAGTCCATGTCCTTGCAGAGCCGATGTTCTGTCTCCAAAGTCTCTGAGCATGTCGTGCTGACCAGCGTCACCACAGTGCTGTCCTAAGTGGGGCCTGGCCCAGGGCCTCCGGGAGGCACAGCTTGATCCTTTGCCCGGGATCCGCCCCAGCGCTCACGAAAAGACGTCTGCTGCTTGGTGAGAGGCTAAGACTCCAGCCCTGGCTTTCTGCCTGGGTGACTCAGCCAGAGTCATTCCCTCTCTGAGGTTGTGTCCCCTAAGCAGGGCTGATAGGGGACTTAAGCACACTCAAGAAAGCAAAGAGCGTTGTAAGTCATTTGCGCTGTGGACATAGTTACTGTCGTACCTGCCTCGTGTGGCTGTACCCTACAGTGTCACCCCACCCTTTCAGAGCTTGGCTTTCCTCCCAAAGACCTACTCAATTACAGGCCTTCCCTGGCTGGACTCTGGTCCAAAGGTCCCCACAGGCATAGTCACCTGGCCTGGAGGCCACCGAGACCCGGGTCACACATGGCCAGCTACTCTGATGTCCCTGTGAACTAATTGGGGGCCAGCCCTTCTCAGTGGGCTCTGAAATACAGCCCGCCCTCTCCAGGTGTGGACTGCACGCACCACAGGCTGGATCTCGTTGGCATTGTGGAGTGTGGCTGTTCAGCATGGAGGCCAGTAGCCCGAAGCAATTGTAATTAAAAGCCTGGCACTGACTGGTCCCTTTCCTTGTCATTACACAAAGTCTGTGCTGCTCAGGTTAGTAGTGGAAGGTGGGGCAGCCGGCGGGGGCGGGGGGGGGTGGCAAGAAGAGAAGGCTCTGGAATGCTCTTATCTGCGCGACCCCACCCTCACCCCAGATGACCTGACTGCAGGCCAGGCTGCCTCTGGCAGTGCCCAGCCTCCGATGTCCAGGACTTAGATCTCTGACACACTTTCTGCTCCCTGCCCGATGACCTCTGGACTGGAAGGTAAGGAGGCAGGTGGGCAGACAGCGGGGCTGACAGATTTACTGTTCCTAACCTTCTTGGAAATCAGGGCTTCGTTTACTTTCCATGAACTCCCAGAAAACAAAGGGGAAGCCACAGATTTGGCCAGCCATGCTCCAGCTGTGACCGAGCTGATTATATGGTTGCCAAAAAGGCCCCAACACCTGTTGCCAGAACAGAGTAAGAGCACATTGTTCCACTCTGCCACAAGGAGCGGGGGACATCTGGCTGAGGCCGTTGAGGGTGAGCACACCAGCAGATGCTCACGGATTTCCTTGACTTCAGCGGTCAGGAAGTGGGGCAGAGCCTTGGGGCCCAGCCCAGGAGCGCAGAGACACCTCGGCTCCCTGTAAGGCACGGCATTCTGTCCAGATCAGGTCTAGGTGCTGGACCATTTCCTGCTCTACAGACGCATCAGTCCAGGGGCCATAGCTGGCCAGCAGAGTGGGCAGTCCTAACCACTCTGTGCTCCCATTGGCCTTGGGATGCACATCAAGTGCGAGGGCTGGCGTGTGCTTGGGATGAGGCCTGAGGGCTGGATGCTCCAGGACTTAACATTCTCAGCACCCCCTCCCGGTGTAAGGTAGATTGTGGTTGACACCATTGTAAAGAAGGGTTTGGGGGCTAGAGGTGTAGCTGGGTGGTAGGGTACTTGTCTAATATGTGAGGCCCTTGGTTCCATCACCAGAACCACATAAAAAAAGACAAAGATGACTTCCAGTGGACACATGGCTCAGCAGGAGCAAAGGCGATGGTTGGCAGCTTCCTGCACACACTACCTTACTCCGCTGGTGGACGCCAGCCTGCACCAGAGTGGGCCTTCTGATGGGGAGCTGATGCGTTCAAGCACACTCTGGGAAGGTAGCCAAGATGCCCAGGGGAGTAAAGCTCATGAGGGGCATCTGACGAGTGCAGAGCTACCTGATCGATGAAGGAACTTGGACTGGGGTTGGGCTAAGGGAGATGGGGTGATAGGCTCCACTGTCCAGAAGTCTAGCATGCAGGAAGTGGGGGGCTGAGCTCTGGCCGGCCCAAGAGTGAAAACTATGGCCAGTGGATGGTGTTTCCAAAGCGGTTGGTTAGGACAGGAAGACACCACTGCCAGTCAAAAGAGAAGCAACCTAGAAAGTTTCCCTCCCCCTCCTCTTTTTTTGGTTACTGGAGGTTGGCAGATAGAGGCTGGACTCTCTGGGGTCCCCTAAGAGGACTCCAGAAATGGATGGGCCTGGCCGTTAGGATCTGGACTTTTGATTCTAGGACTGCGGAGCCACAGCAGCACGGAGGAGCTGAATTGGCTGAGCCTGACAGGCCTGCTGGCCTCTGTGACCTGGAAAAGGCCACAGCCGCTCTCCACCCCCACTCTGCAGGGAGGACAGCCCCGCTGAAGGCCTCTGAGCTTCAGCGCTCTTATCTTCATCTCCCAAAGCCAGAGGATAATCACACCATTATCTGTGATAAGGCCCCCCTAGCAAACTAGAATGTCTGGTATCTGCAGCTTTTGATTGAAATTCTGTCAGCTCATTACAGACACAGTGCAGCCTGGGTATCACGCTGATCTAGAAATGCAACTGGCAGGTACTGGTGTCTGTGCTTAATAAAAGTGGGAGGGGAGTTATGGCTTCATAAATGGAGTTTGTCTGAGAGATAAAACTCAGGCCTAAGATAATGAAAAGAGCACGCTGTGAGAAGTCTGGGGTGGCAGCTGCCAGCCCAGAATGGCAACCCTAAACCCAAGAAACAGCCTTTTGGGCAGATCCCCGACACAGAGGAACCTGGCAGGGCCCCAACTTCACCCTGGCAAATCAGATGATCACCAGGTCCACCAAGGCCCCTAGCACTGCTGTTTTGCCTGGCTTGGTAAGCAGTGGATGCGTCCGTACTAGGATGGATGGATGAATGAATGAATGAGGATGGATGGATGAATGAATGAGTGAATGAATGGTGAGCACAGACATGTGCAAGAGGAGTCGTGGTGGGAAGCATGGGACTGTAGAGTCTTTTATTGAAACTCACAGTTTTCTGGACTTTTGGCCCCAAATGGGAAAAAAAAAAAAAGCAAATTATAAACATTGGCAGTAAGATGCGACAACTATTCCCTGGAACTGAAGCTGAGTGGAACATGGCAGGTCAGTGAGGGGTCCAAGTTTTGGAGGGCAGGAACCTCATCAGATATGGCTGAAATGGCAGCTTCTCCAAGCCTCTAGCACAGGCAAAGTCTCAGGTGAACTAATGCTAACACACAAGGATTGTGGGAGTTGAGGAATCCCAGGCACTGGTCCTAGCAAATCTCCCTCATGCTCAGTCTGAGTCCACTTAGCAGAAACTGGGCTCATCTGACCTGGCGATCTTGGTGAGGGATGACAGTCATGCCAGCGGAGGCCAGCAGTGATGCTTAGCACTGGCATCAGGGAACAGAGGGGGAAGCCAGAGGCCAGGGATAGCTGACCAGACACTAACTCCACTGCCACCATCAGCATCCCCTACCCCAAGGTGGTGCCATTCCACAGCCCAGGGTATTCAGCCTTCGGTCCTTTCCTAGGTCAGGCTAGGGAAAGCTTTGCTAGGAGAGGAGGAAGAGAAGACAGGCCGCATCCCTTGGTGTGCTCCACTCTTGTTGGGTAGGCTGGATCATAGCATCCGAGAGGCTGTCATGGTGACGAAGTCTTCAAAGCTGAGCCGAATGTTGCCCTGTACGGCGGTGTCCTTTTCCCGGAAGGCCTCAGTCAGCACCTGCAGCTGGGTACACACCTTGATGAAGCAGTCAAGCTGCATGGCGGGAGTGGCAGAGCGCGCGCAGTAGCGAGACACCAGGAGCTGGGTGAACTGAGGGCTCAGGTTGTAGCCCATCTGCGACAGCGCTGGAGAGGAAGGGCACAGGAAGCAGAGGCTGCGGTGAGTCTATCGCTACTGAGCACAGCAGATCAGGGGACCTGGGGGCAGTTGTTCACAAGTCCTGCAGACCCATTCAGATGTCAGGAGCACAGGAGGTCTCTTCGGAGACCCCACCCCAGTCTCGTCACTGTCAAGGTTCATGAGATCCCAGAGAAGCCAGCAACCTACCTGTGACCATCTCATGCGCCTGAGCTACAAAAGAAGTGTGAACCACTAGCCACCCTGGACAGACAGACACCAGAGACAACAGCACAGCACAAGGGCCACTGTCCTGGAGGCAGGCAGTTCTGGGTCCCCTGCTTAGCCTCACTAGCCCTTCTTATTGCCACTCAAGCCGGGCGATACTCAGCCTATGCTTCTACTAAGGATTAAAGGCAATCACAGAGGCACTCGGCACAGGGCTCTGCACACAGTATCCTATTTTAAATAAAAGTGTTATCCCCATACAAGGCCACAGCCTGTGTGGCACTTCCTTTCTCCCACTGAGAGGCCTCCTGCCTGTTCCGTGTCCCTGGCCTCCCAGGAGCAATCTGAGCTCCGCTCTGAGCCCTGGGCAAGGGACTAGCCTTCACTTTTGTCACTGTAAAAGGGAGACCAGCAGGGGTCCGCACCAGTCCCTGCAAGCGCGGGACAGTCAGCAGGTCTAGCCTATGGGAAGAGGAATTTCAGGAACCCACTGCAATGCTCATTTCAGTGCCTAGGGCACGGCAAACATTTAGCAAGTTGTTGCTATCAACCTCACCAACATCAGTGAAAGGAGCTGGCAAGGCAGCGTTCAGTACTGGTCACCCTCCCTTATAGCAGGGGCAGACACGGCACGCTCACCCCCACACACACCTTCATCTCAATGAAACGCACGGCCTGGAAAAAGGACCTAGATTCTCTAGGCAGCCTTTCCCCTGAGAGGTGATGGAACTTCTCCCTGGGTTCTCAAAGCCACATCAGTCATCTGTCTTAGTTCCCTACTGGCCTAAGCCCAGGCTGCAGGCTTGACCTACGGAGTCAGACAGGAACCAGATGTGGATCTGTGGCCCCAGGTCCTCGCACCCAGCCACAACTCTGAGAAGGCTCTGGACCTCAGAAATCACCTCTGGCCAAGTGGCAACAGAACTGTGAGCCCTGAAGCAGGTCTCTTTCCATGCCACATGCTGGACAATAAGAACGAACCACACTGCTAAATTCCCACCTCTCTGATGCCAGAGGGGCTGTCCCGCTCAGTCCTGTCACCAGGGAGCCCAGCACTGATTCAAGGCCCAGTTGCCTGGCCCTGGATTTTGGCTCAAAGCACTGGGCAGTGAGAGGAAACCCTTCACTGTGTTTAAGGCATAAGGAGTCTAGCTGTGCCAGGCCCACTGTGCCTACGGTGGTCCTTACCCTGCTGCAGCTCTACAGAGCTGATGGATCCAGAGCGGTCCCGGTCATACTGCTGGAAGAGGCTCTTCCACTGCTGGAGGAATCTCCATAGGGCTGAGAAGCCAACAACATCAATGCGGCCGGATTTGGTCTTATCAAACATGTCTGAGTGGGAGGAGGGAAAGGATAGAGGAAGGTTTCAAGACTGAGGGCCAAGGGCACCACTGAGGCAGCCCTTCTCCCAGGCTGAAGCAAATGCCTGTGCCTGAGACATGGCACCAAGCCTTTCCCCTGGCCGTTCTCAGTCCCGTCCCATCCAGATTCTGCAGGGCTGGTGGCTTAGCTCCAAGACGTGGGTCCATGATGACCCCTTTCCTGCAGTTTCTTACCAGGGGAGGGAGTGTCTGGCTGCAGAATGGGAGACTGGACC